AAAAAAAAAGTTTTTAATCAATTCACCCCAAGCAAGGTGATAATGCTACTAAGACGCAAGGGACTACTGGGAGTGAAAGAGAATGAGAATAACTTAGAAGGAACGCAAAACCCAATCTTAAGGGATAAACTACTACTCCTGTTCAAAAGGCCGGAGAATAGTGTGAAGTGGACGATAGGCGAATCTGTCTACTCCTATTGGTGGAAGAGATAAAAAAATAATTAGGGTATTAAATTTCAGAGCTCAGTCGGAGACGTTAGAAGTATAGGGCCGAGAACGATGGCGATCGCGATAAAAGCTGCATTTTTTCATTAGTGCAATATCGAACGACGTAAAACGAGTAAGGCAAAAATACATTTACCATAAATAATTGTTCTAAATTATTACTCAGAGAAATCTTCGTAAGACGGGGATTTGGCTAATTATTATTATTATTATTAATTATTAGTGTCTTTCAAATGTATTTTCGTTTTTACAGATGTTCAAAGATTATTTTCTGCACATATCTAAATACGATCTATGACTCCATTATTATTATTATTGCGTATCATAAGTATTTTTATGCTTAAACATCTTCAAAGTCACGGTGGAGTAATAGATAATGGCTAAGAATCGAAGAACTGCGTTTGAATTCCAGTCGATTTCATTGCATTCGCTGACGCGCTAATACCTTGGGTAAATAGCAACACAAATCGGGCCCTATAGAAATCAAGCCACCTACCGGCTTGTAGGTCCTGCCACTTTAGGCAAAGGCTACAAGAATATAATTTCAAAAACAAATCCGCCTTGCATGTCATCCCGAAGAAAGGAAGTGAACCATCATTACTTCGAGCCACCACAAAAAATAATGGACTCCCCGGGCTTAGTACAATGGTTCGAACAAATAAAAGACTGGGACACGGGACGGTGCCATAGACAATGAAGTCAATACCCAGAGGCGACAGTCTGTTTCACGCTTAAATACAATCGATATTGTCTGACGATTGCGTTTAAACATGAAACAGATTGTTTCCTCTGGGTGTTGACTTCAATGTCTACTTTTATATATACATACGCTCTATCCCTAATATTGAGGCATCTAACTCATAAATATAGCATACCTTAAAATATATATTTTATCACACACACACACACACATACAACACATACACACGCACAGACACTCTCTCACACACACATACATATATTGTTGTCAGAAATATTCAACATTTTCTTTTCTTTCATCTGCTATAATGACAGAGATTCGGGTAATTTTTAGGCTTTTCATCTGGGACTCGAAACCACAGAAGTTGTTCCCAGAATTCAGGAATTGGCAGTAAATGAAACAATATTTGACCATAGCTTGTTTAAGTGTTTTAAGGATGGTTATACGCCTCTTGATATAAAGCCCAAAATGTGGTTGACCACCATTTGTTGATTGTAGTGGTTTAAAAGCCAAGGTAAAGGAGAAGCCATCCTCCTGCGAACGAATAATTTCAGGACAGCAAGGTTGGAAAGCAAGGATCCCATAAATAACGGAAATGGTAAGGAACTGAAAAAAAAAAGAAAGAGTTAAAGAAAGAAAGAAAAAAGAAAGAAGAAGGAAGAAAGAAAAGAAGAAAAAGAAAAATTATGAAGAAGGAATGAAAATAAGAGACAATAAATTAAAGAAGAAAATAAATGAAAAAGCAAACATGAAAGAAAGAAAGAAAATAAAAATGAAAGTCAATGAAAGAAACGAACAGAAATGAAATAAAGAAACAATAAATAAAGAAAGGAAAAAAGGGGAATGAAAAAATGGGAAAAAGATAGCCATAAAAGAAAGCAACAAAGAAAAACGAAAGAAAACAAAAATTAAATGAAGGTAAAAGACTTAGAATTGAAGAAGAATATAAACGATAAAGCAAAAATGAAAGAATGAAAGAAAGAAGAAAAAAGAAAGAAAAAAAATGAAAGACGAAGAAAGAAAGGAAAAAAATGATATTAGGGACCAAGAAATAAATAAATAAAGAAAGAAAGAAAGAAGGATGGAAGAACGTAAAAAGGAAAGACGTGAAGGAAGAAATCAAAGAAGAAAATAAAAAAATATATAAAAAAAATGAATGAAATTAAGAGAAAAAATAAATGATAATGCAAAAAAAGAAAGGAAAAAAGAAAAACACAAATGAAAGACAGGAATGAAAACGGAAGAACAGTTAGATAAGGAATGAATAAATAAGTAAAGAATTGAAGAAGAAAGAAAGGAGAAAGAACGTAAAAAAGAAAAATCTGAAAGAAGAAATAAAGAAAAAATAACGAGGGAATGAAAATACGCGGCAGTGAATTGAGGAAGAAAGTAAATAATAAAGTAAAAATGAAAGAAAGGAACAGAGAAAGAAAATAGAATGAAAACAAAGAAAGGGGGGAAAATGAAATAAAGAAACAATAAATAAATAAAGAATTAGAGAAGAAAGAAAGAACGAACGAAAGAAAAACATGAAAGTAAGTGACGGAATGGAAGAAGAAAGCAAATGATAAATAAAAATGAATGAATGTATGAACGAATGAATGAAATAAAAAATGAAAGAAAATAAAATGCGAGAGATAAAAAGATGAGAAGAAAATGAAATAATGAAACAAGCAAACGAGTAAGAAAAAAAGAAGAAAAGAAATAAAAATAAAATTAAAAAAAATGAAACGAAGGAAGAAAAAAAGAGGAAAAAGAAATAAGGAAGCAATAAATAAATAAATAAATAAAGAAAAGCTGGTTATATTTAAAGTGATCCTAGATCGAGATGGTCAGTGTCCGAAAGTCTCCGCCATTATCACCTCATCGAGATTATAAATCTGTTGGCTCTTTCCGACATGATGTTCAAGCAGAGACGCCAGTCAATTGGTTTTTTATCAAAACCCGTACCTATTAAAATGTTACCATTACGGATAAAAAGTTGCTATTATGCCGACCAAATATCCCTTTTGGACAGTGGTTTTGAAGCTTTTCCTTACAACTGACTTGTTTATGGCCCTCGCGACCAGTCTCTGGAATTTAAAAAAAATGCCCATGAATAAATGTGATAATTCTTTATCGTATCTCATCTTTTTTTTCTGCCGTAGAAAATTTATTTGTTTTTCTGACATCAGAATACATCTTTCCTCCTCAGCTTTTCCTTGTAAAGGCTTTCGAGCAGTATGGTGGCTTATTTAAGATCCATAAAATGTTAATATCTTTTTTCTAAAGGTAGCTACACCAAAATCGGTAGTCTTGGGTTTGACAATAGACTACATCCGACATCTAGAGATTGGAGGTGTTAATTGCTGTTGTTCCTAGATCCACTCTGAGCCAGGGTGGTAGCATCTGTTAGGGTCCCAGCTATGGGCAAATAGTGACTCCCCAAACAAAAACAAAACACTATGAAATTATTAAAATACATTATTATAGAAAAAAATACTTGCGATACATTTTTAATTAGCAACAATAGATATTTATAGTAAAATTACCAACAGCAGATTTTTAAAGCAAACTGACCAGTAATTAATTTTATAGCAAAATTACCAACAATACATTTTAATCTGTAGTTGAAGTCATACAAATGCGTTCAAAATATATTTAGATTTCAGTATTGAATAAGACATAGAGATATTCATATGCCGCTAAACAATATCAGCCAACTAACAATCAATCAAAATCGGTCATAATATGTTAAAATACTTTGAGGTAACGTATATGTGCTGGTCAACGGAATTGGTAATACAAATTCGAATGTCAACGAAGTTCGCTTATTTCGCACAAATGATAATGGAGAAATTAACCATTTCCACACAGGAACTATTAACCTTAGACTGTTTAATGGTAGACACAGTAACAAAACAGCAGGACGAAGAAATCACTAACGTTGGGAAAGGCGTGAATCTATTTCTCCCTGCGCTCAGTTCAGACACCAGTTATCTTGAATAAGAACTGATCGGCTATAAAATATTGTACGAGAGGGTGCAGAAAAATTTCCGACTTGAATCACATCCCAAAATTGTGTTTATTCATTGAAATGCTGATTTAGAGATGCTTGTCGGGCCGAGAACCTTTCAGCAATAAAGACAGAAACAACAGAATACGAGGTCTGGTCAATAAGTATCGGAACTGATGGAATAAAAAGAAGACTACAACACATATCAATTCGACATTTAATCACCTTCGAAGTAGTCCCTTCTGAAGCGACACACTTTATCCAGCGTTGTTTCCATTGATGGAAGCATTCCTAGAACTTCGTTTTGTGGGGTAGCGAGCAGCTGCCTCACTGCATTCGCTTGGATTTCCTTGATGTCTTGAAATGTTGTTCCTTGGAAGTGGGATTTGAATTTTGAAGAGGGGAAAGTCGCAAGGGGCGAGATCTAGGGAATATGGTAGTTATCGGACGTAGGATATGTTATCCTTGGCGAAAAACTGCCGCACAAGTTATGGTCACTGATAGAACCTCCGTGCTGTGGTGAGACGACCATACTCTACACATTTTCCTTCCAAGGGAAGCGAGTGAGAACATATTAATTTAGTATGCATGTCAGACAGAGTTCAAAGTCAATCTGCGGCTTCACTCTGCGTACATTAGTTCTGTTACCATAGCAACAGTTACGATAATTTTTTTTAAGTCTTCGTGTGTCGGAATTCAAAAATATAAATTAAATTTAATACGTTATTTAAAATGAAAGTAATTGTGTGTGTGGGGGGGGGGGAGAAAATTGAAGCGCCGAAAATGGAATCGGCGTACCGAGTTCAAATTCTGACTGGGTCAGTTTCGCCCGCTTCGCGCTTTAATACCTTTGGAAAAGGTATGTATCCATTTTTCTACAGTTATGGGTTAAATAAAAAGGCAGACCGAATTTTTTTCTGCCTTTGGAAGCAGCCAGTCTAGGAGGAGGAGGAGGAAAAACTGTTGTATTCAAACCTTCGTACATAATAGGGCAGACTGGACTTCTAGCCTTGTCCATTTTAGAAGAACAATTTCAAAACTATCCTGAAGAGGGATGGATCGCATCAAACTATCTTCCCTTAGAAACACCGGTTCACTTACGATCACCGAAGTTAGGCAACGTCGAGCCTGGTCAGTACCTAGATGGTTGACCACTTGGGAATACAAGGTGTTGTAAGTTTGAATGTTCAGGTGTTGAAAATTGGAGTTCGTTGGATTCACTTACGCGCAAATACCTTTGGGAAAGGTATGAATCCACCACTTCTTTCCCCCTCATATGGGTTAATTAGTAGAGCTTGTATCAGTAAATCATTATTAGCTCCAAAAAATTCTTACAATCTAAAATATTTACTGGTTTTAAATAACCCGCAAAAGGTTGATAAGCCGTAAAAAGCAAGTCAATCAAAACTAAGACGCACGCTCTGTCATCCATTAAACTACCTGCCCATCCACTATTGCTGATTCTTCTTTTGAACTCATGGTAAATAGCAAGGGCATCTATAGACTTATAGATGTGTAAGATCATAAAAGTATAGAGTTGAAGTAGACCTTAGAAGAAACCAGTAACCAAATCCTACACAGGAAACAAGGGATAAACTTCTACTCCTGTTCAAAAGACCAGAGAGGAGTGTGAACTGGACGATAAGTAAATCTATCTATGATTTGGTCGTAAGCTGTTAAATGAGTGAAAACAAAATGTAATGAATGAAATGCTAAAATGAACAACTGTAACGTTTTCTGCCTAACTTTGCGTAATTTTCTGTGAATTTTTATTTAACTAGTATTTTCATAATTCATTGGTTAGCTACTGTAATTATTCGGGTATAATACGCGCTCGTGTATAACCCCCTCTTCTCCTGTTCCTCCTCCTCCTCCTCCTTATCATCAGTCCCATGATCGGGTGAGGTTGTAGGGTGCTGCTCAACTGAGTACCTAACCAGCTCCCGCCATATATCTCAGTTGCGTGTCAGTATATGGTTTGAGAGTTGGAGAGGTATTCCTCCATGCATAACGTGTCTTCCGTAAATAAACCTGGCGGAGGCCATCCTTCTCCAGATCAAACTGCAGAGGATATTCTCCCTCTTGAAGGCTCGCCTTGGTTACAGATATTACTCTGGCCGTTGACATTACTTGATTTTTTTTATTCTTTTAAATTCTTATTCCTTTTTAGTACATTCGATTCTCACTGTATGACCAACCTTAGTAGGTTTATCCCTTGTTTCCTGTTTAGGATTGGGTTTGCGGACCCTTCTCTTTTTTAATCAAATTCACCCCATGCAAGGCAGTAAAGCCACTAAAACGCAAGAGGTTACAGTGTGTGAATGAAGAAGAAAACAGAGAAACATTATTAAGGAGCAAGAACAATAGAAGAGTAATCAAGAAAACAGTAGATAACGATTGGATATGCTTTTAAATTTTTGAAGGTCAAAGTTGGGCGGAAAGCATAGAGCCGGAAAAGAGTTATACAAATGAGAAGAAACTAATATCATAGGACTTACGGTTATATCTAGCCAGTTCAGCTGTAAATTGATGAGACCTTATTCCTAATCTAGTAATACGCTTTAATTCGTAAAATCTAGGTTTTATAATGGAGAGCTATATTTATTCTGTACAATACAGAAATGTGGCACAAGGCCGTAGGGGGTGGGGTGGGAAAAGGACGGTCTTCTTCTGTCTTAACTATAACTTAGCTATCCGCAAACACTGATCCAATCGTACAAGCAATATTCCTTACACCAAAACAACACATTCATACGTACCTTTCTTACTACATTCACCATAATACCTCTTTGTCTCTATGAAAATCCTAACTAGTCCCCATATTTACAATTCATTGTCTGTGTGGGGAGGGGAATAAAAACAACAATTCTAAAAAACTAGCCCCAATAAGTACTTACAAACATGATTTATAATTACCGTGTAAGTATTTATAGAAAAGACACAGGGGAGCAACTTTACGGTGTTGAGAAAGTGAGTGAAGCCTAGACGCCAAATCAGGGCCAATAACTTTGCTGGCCCTCCTTTGGATTTTATCAAGAATCTCTAAATATATAGCAAGAGCACCGGACTATGTTTGGCAGCAATATTCAAAGCGGAACGAATGGCAGATTTATAAATATGTAAGATAGATTCTGGAGAGAAAAATTATCGTATAAGACACAGTTAACTCACTTTCTTACCAGCAGACCTAGCAATGGATTAAATATAGTCTTTCCACTCCATGCCAGCCCGAGGTGTAACGAGTCACTCTCCTCGATTTTAGCATCAGCCATGCTGAGGGAAGGAAGAAATGAATCTCTCTTTTTTTAAGCACTTCACCCCAAGCAAGGCAGGTGTGCGAAGCGTACTCAGGGGGTTACAAAGAGTGAAAGTGAGAGAAAAGACTGGGTATAGCGGGGATTGAGGAAAGGATAAAAGATGAACGGGGTTCAAGACAGCAGAAGATGGCGATTGACGTTGCATTTAAATTTATGAAGATTATAGTTATCAGAGAAGCAAGTAAAAGGAAGGAATTCCACTATCGGGAAGTGCGAGAAAAGAAAGTGTTGGAGTAGAAGTGACGGTTACATTTAACTATTTCAACAGTAAAAATGTGAGACCTAGATGCAAATTTAGTAGCACGCTTAATGATGAAGATCAGAAACTGTGTAGGACCCAGAATAAAGCCTTGGGAGACACCGGCTTTCGTTTGAAAGGATCTGGAAGCGAGCCCGTTCAGAACGACCTTCATTTCACGATTTGATAGGAATGACTGGATTAAATCAAATAATTGTCCTGTAATAACGAAGCTCTGAAGTTTACGTAGATGACCAGCATGACAAAACATTGTCAAACGCCTTCGAGATATCTAGAGTCACAGCTCAAACTTCGCCGTTATTATCAAGAGCTTGATATACATATTCAGTTATGGCCGTAAACACGTCAGCGGTAGACCGGGCAAAACGGAAGCCATATTGTTTGTCAGAAAAAAGGTCGTCAGAGGTAAGATGCTTAACCACTTCAGTATTGATTAATGTCTCGAATACTTTGCCGAAAAGCGGTAGGAGACTGATAGGGCGGTAGTTTGAGAGGTCAGAAGGTTCTCCAGACTACAAACAAGGACCTCCAGCAAACTGGAAAGCAGGAAGCAACGAAGCAACTGTTGTATAGTTTGGAGAGAAATGGAGCCAGCTCTGGAGCACATTTCTTTAGGACGACGGCTGGTATCTCGTCACCTCCTCTTACATTATGAGAGTCTAATTTAGTAATGATGTCCGAGACCAGTGACGGGAATGGAGTGCAGATTTGTTTTGGAGGCGTTAAAATTAACAAGCCATTCTTTGCTTTAGCTAACAACAATCTGTAAGTTATTTTTTAGAGCAGCTACCAATTTGAACATACTAATACGTCTTTTCGTTCTGCTTCACTCCCCGTAACCCCTTGCGTCTTAGTGGTATTATTGCCTTGCTTAGGGTGAGTTGATTAAAAAAAAAAGATTCCTAGCAATTATAACTGCACTATACTATGCTGGATTCAATTCAAATTCAAGGCTTTTTGTAGCTAGTGAAAAACTTTGAGGAAGAGGATGGGTCAATAAGTCTATACAGGACACCGATCCTTTAAGTGGTCACCTGTCCATATTCAAGCCCCCCCTCATCTATCCCCGCCCACACCTTTGTTAACAAAGGGTTACTTGACTCTCAGATATATTCATTGACTCGCTTGCTGACAATGGTGAGAACTAATATAAGAGCGACAAAAGAAAAAAAAAATTAGAGTACTTCAAACTTTTAGAGAAAAGGTCACAGTTTGCACCTACAATCTTCAAAAATTTGAATGCAAAGCCGATCGCCATCTTCTGTCTTCCTGAATCCTGTTACTTTATTGTTCTTTTCCTCACTTCTCAAAAAAAAAAAAAAATTCCCATTCTCTTTCATTCCTTGTAACCCTCTGCATTCTAGTGGCATTATCTCCTTACTTAGAGTGAATTATTAAAAAACAAGTCTTTATATATACATATATAGGGAATAATACTAGATTTATATTATAAATAAAAAAGCGACCAGATAACACTATTCGTCGAGTGAAGACGCGATACTTAAAAAAAACGGCATCACACGTGAAGATGCGCCATTTAAAAAATGATGAAACCAACATAAAAAAAAAAAACTTTGATAATGATTTATGTAAGCCGAAAGTACGCAGATATTTTGGAAATTTATATTTAAATATGTACAAGAAACAAGAAAACTGTCGGATTAAGCCAGTGTGGAACTTTTAGCATATATTATAAAGGGGCTCTAAATTAAAAATAAATATGAATATTAAATCATAAATGATTTACTAGCATAGAGATAGTTTTTTATAAAACGGGTAAATATTTACCTTCTATCAACCTGATAAAAAACAGAAATAGTTCTGAGACAAATGACTCCAACGAGATATTACCTGAAAATGATAAATAATTCAAAATGCAGACCCCCATGCCACGACTTGTAATCACTAGCATTGCCAGATCGATTTCACCAAACAGCTTAATTTTCGAAGTGCGATTAACCAGGCGCTACTAGAATATCGCAGGTTGATTTATCCCCCCTTTAATTTTCTCGAAAATCAACATCGCACTCTATGCGCTAAGTACTGACACTAAAATTTAGATTCATAGCTTTTGCCAATTTTTGAGCATTAAGTTTGCAAGATCATCTAAAACAATGTACAGAAATACCTAATTTCAGCAGGTTTTTGCTTACAAACTGACTTTAAAAATTTACTATTTCGGGAATAAATTCAAATAAAGATAATATCTTTTGTATTAGATACCTTGAATGGAAAATATATTCAAAGCAGAATTTTAACACTTCGGCTGCTAACTACGGAGATGTTCGTTTTTCTTATCTTGCTCCAGCTGGCTAAGTACGGAAACCTCCGTTTTTTGCATACCGCTGGTATGAGTGTCCCGTTGCGCCATCTATCGTAAAATCACAAAGGACAATGCTTCAAAAGATATCATGTGTATACCCATTACTAATCTGGTAAGTCATTCCCAGGTATATCCATGAAAATGGAATGTTGTAAAACACACTGGTGCCAGTTTTCTGTGTAATAAAATATGTAGGTTGAAATTTGGCATTTTCTTTAAAAATGGCTGGCCGGATGGGGGCAGCACTGGGCAAATGAGTAGCAGTGAAAGTGTTAATT